TAACAGGAATATATTGACATGCAAAATACCAACGAAAAGCCAGAAGAACAAGTAGCAGGAGCTGGAACTGTTCAGCAACGACAACCAAACTACACTAGGTAGCATCTTTCACATTGGAAGGACGTCCCAAGGCGCTGGAAAGAAGAATTGGTAGACAAGGTATGTTACTGAAACTAAATCTGGTGATTAAGGACTATACATGCACCAACAAAAACTAGTTTATGGGTATCCTGTTTGGCCCTGAACTGTCCTTTCTCCCCCACATCCACACCATGACCGGAACTGCCTACCACCACCTCTGCAACATTGCCAGACTCTGCCATTCCCTCACCCCTCAGGCTGCTGAAACCATCACCCACACATTCGTCACATTACGGAAACTCTCTCCTCATTGGTCTTCCCAACTCTTCTCTTCACAAGCTGCAGATCATCCAAAACTCTGCAGCTTGTGTACTCTCACGCATCAAGCTCTGTGATCCCATCACTCCCACCCTCGCCTGACTCCACTGGCTCTCCATCCCTCAGAGGATCGAGTTTAAGATCCTCATCCTCACTTTCAAGGCCATCCATGGCCTTGCTCCCTCCTACCTCTCTGACCTGCTGACTCCCTACCAACCTGCCCGTTCCCTCCGTTGAGTGGGCTCCGGTCTGCTCCATGTCTCCCGCCCGACCCGCCATACCATCGGTGACCGGGCTTTCAGCTTCTCTGCCCCTACACTCTGGAACTCCATCCCACGGTCCCTTCACCTCGCTTCCTCCCTCGCCTCCTTCAAGGCCGGTCTCAAGACCCTCCGCTTCGATCGTGCCTTCAGTCGCCCTCCCACCTCTCTGCCTTCCTATCCCACCCCTCGGGCCCCGACACCTGACTGTCCAGCTCCTTGGCATGAAAGGCGCTCTATAAATATAATTTTGTTGTTGTGGTAGTAGTTTCTAAAACATCAGATACATCATTGGACAAACTTACCGGCACTGACCGCTCAGACATCTGCGGTCACTCAGCAAACTCTTACAATGAGCAGCCTTGGTACCTGAGTAAAACATCGCCCTCACCCACACACATAGTAACCGTGTTTACTGTTGTGGCAAGATCTGAAAGAATCTTTAGAGTTTAGAAATTTAGAGTTTGTCTTCTGTGAGGTTCTTCCTGATTGTTAAAGTCCGAGTGATTCAAGTTGTTATAATGAGAAAAATGAACAAGTTTTTTTACAGACAGAGGCCAATACATAAACTTATACTGTACTTAAACAAGTTTTTACATACTGACAGATACGGGGGCTGGGGCCACTCTGATAGCTGCTCACTCTGCTAAGATGCAGTGTGTGTTGGTACAGACCCTCCTGATCACAGCACACCCTAGTGGCCCTGGAGGACTCACATCTACAGCCATCCCAGATAGTCACTGAGCTCTTGTCCCTTAGATTGACGATATATCAAATTTATTCTACAATACACAAGACTTGTAAATACACAAGTCATGTAAACTATTCCCTCACGATCCGTCATACATACCAACACTCGAGCAATACAAATTTCACTATTGCTCCACAAGTAATGTAGAAATGTATTCAATTTCCACAGATAAGAACACTAAGACAACCCATGGAAAATGCAGTTACGTCTTAAAATGTTGCAGGACCTGGAGAGTGTGACACAAACCTTCCCACTGTACTCTGCTGTATCTCTGCTCTTTCCCCAATTAAATATATGACATTGGTCATATATTTAATTGATTTATGCTTAAAGAGAAAAGGACTCCATTGGGCAAAAAACAAGAATCCAATCCTCAATTAAAATTAATAGTCTCTTGTGCACATTCATCACATTCTGTGCCTGCCTTTAGTTCCTCTGAAAAGTCCACATTGCAATCAACAACTCAGTTGCTATATCGAGGAGGAGATTCTCATCTGGTTGCAATGTTTCATTAATTTGGACATCCAGATTCATCGAAATAGTGACTCTTCTATCTTTTTTTCCGGCTGACAGAATACAGCTGTGGGGCAACATGGACTCATGCTCAGAAGAGAGAAAGCAAAACAAAGCGTTCAAATTTGATTATTTCACAAAGTTGTGACTAAGTGGAATAGAGTAACCTGAAAGGCAAACTGCACCAACAAATTCAAGTGGAAACAACATATCTGCCAAGTCAACTGTGGGTAAGAGATGACTTTTGTGTGATCTAATATAAAAATGTTTTTTTTAAAAAAGCTTTGGCCAGATGGTCCTCTGTATTCTTACAAACATACAATGATCAAATAATTCAAAAAGCATATGATTAAATATTTAGCTCCGTTTCCTGCCTGCTTTCATTTCCTTACCATGAACCCTCGAGCTAATTGCATGCAAACACTAATCAACCAACGGGGGAAAAAAAACACCTCAACGTAAGGGCAAGTTGATAAGTTGATCATAAATGCAATTGACAACAAAGTGGAACTGTTTATGTATTTCTGGAACCACACAAATACATAAACAGCGCTACAGAATTGAATTTGTCAGGAAATTGAATTGTAGAGATCGACACTGCATCTGACCTGGATTGAGCAACATGGCCATTTAAGATCCTCTCACTTGTTTTCAAATCACGTAATTCCCTTACACTTCCTTAACTATCCGACCTTCTTATCCCCCACTCCACCACTCACTGCCACGGCTCGGCTGGCTCCAGCCTCCTATTTGTCCCTCGTGCCCTCTGTTTCACCATCGGTGGTCGTGTCTCCAGCCACTCCGCCCCGAAACTCTAGAACTCTCTTCTTCCACCTTCCCCCTCCCTTCCCACCTGCAAATCCCACCTAAGGACCTTTTTTTGATCAGGCTTATGGTCACCTCCCTCTCCCCCTGGCTCGGTGTGCAACTATAAAGCACTCCGGGACGCTACCCCGCGTGAAGGGCACTATATAAATGCAAGTTGCTGTAGTCACAAGCAGCACCTGACTATGCTCTGTACAGTAGTATACAGCGCTTCATGAATTTTCATGAATTACATCCTTGACTTTTCTCGCCTTCTCCACTTCACGTTTGGCAACGGAACGTCAGAATTGAGCCAGCCCTCTGTGGCGGTCTTAGTAGTTGATCGAGTTCCTGAGCCAGGTGGGTCTGCAGTATTCCAGGGCACTGCCGATGACAGCACAGCCATCCTGGCAGGACTTGGAAGGGCAGATCAGTCTTACTCAGCTCCCGTTAACCCTGCAAGCCATAGCTTTAACGGTTGCGGTAGTTCTCACCGGACAAGCATCAGCAAAGTTTGCCAAACAGTATTCTCATTGGCAAGCTATGCAGCTTTAGCTGGTTAGACTCCAGCAGTACCCCAATGCACACTCTGGGGTCCCCAAGCCTCGACTCTCGCCAACCTGCGCCTAGTACTTTTTGGAGTTAGGTAAGCAGGACGTTCCAAGGAGGGCGCGTGCATTCCATTCCAATAAATCTCTAGAAATTCCATGTGTAGGTGGGATGGATCGAACTCTGGTTTGGATACTCTCAAGCATGGCGATGGGTGTACCAAATATATTCAGTGAATATCCATTACCAGCAGAAAGACCCCCAGCACTCAGATTATTCTCTGACCATAAAATAAATCTATTGCTTAGATCAGCTTTCAACTGAAGGAAATAAAGTTTCATACTACTGTATATACAAGTAAAAAACAGTGAATGAAACATTAATATTGTGTATACAACAACAAACACTACATTTATAGAGCATTCTTCACGTCGGGAGGACGTCCCAAAGCGCTGTATACTACTGTAATACACAAGTAAAAAACAGTGGAAGCTGATATATCCTTGGAGGCATTTAGTTTGAACCTGAGGTCATTTATGCTACTGAAAGCATTAATGTACAACCTCTGCTGCTCTAAGCACATTTAAGCATAGACAAGCAGATCTGTTCAAGCTCACCAATCTATGGATTTACTGCTCAATGCGGATTTGGAATATAAAACACTCAATAAGCACATCCTTTCGATCAATGCTTCGTTCAATGAACTATGCTTCATACATTCTGCTACAGGCTCACTTCAAAGGATAGAAAGAGAATCCTTGCATCATTAGTACCCATTACATAAGTGGATTATTGCACATGGACTTGTAAAAATGACAATGAAAAATCTTAACAAATGTATTTACCGACCATTTTAATGCAAGACCAAATACTCTGAAATTATAATCCTTAATAATAATCCTTGCATTGGATAGTGCATTTTTCACGTCTTCGAGACATCTCAAAATATACTGTAAAGTGAATTGACTATATATTTGTAGGCTAAACGCGGCAGCCAATTGCGCACAGCAGTACCCAACAAACAGTCGTGGATTGACATGACCAATTTCATTATTGTTTTTTTTCTTGAAGAATTATTATCAGGGTGTGGAATAAGGAAACTTGCCCAAGGTTTCACCTTGCCGGGAACCAAACCCAGGTCTCTTGCTTGCGAGGAGAGTGCTTTAACCACAGAGCTACAGGACTCCAACTTATCATCACTAGGATTTTACATCTTGAAGTCTTACATTTTACCTGTATTTTAGTAATACGTTACATGTAGATTTAATGTAAGCAACACATTTAAGCAGTAGGAAGTTAGTAACAGATTACCTTAAACTATTACAAATAATTGAATTTACTGTACATTGAGCCAAAATTTAAAATGCCACCTTCACTATAAATTCAAAGTAATCTGCATATAATAACTGAAAACAACAGTACCAACCTAATTTAAGATCAGCTTGAATGCAGTAACGTGCTACCACAACCTACTACAAACGATATATAATGTATACTACAAGTGCACTATATATATATCATCCTCACTTTGCAGTATTATCAACTTAAATTATTCAAGAGTAAGTCACCACCTTCCTTTCAAAATAAACTGTGCAAAGCAAAGGAGGAACGTGCAATTGATTCCCACTTTAAACACACAAAATGCATAGGTTCAAAAAAAGATTTAATTGTCATTTCACAGGTGTAATTTCTTATTAGTATGTAACATAAAGACAAAACGTCACCTCAACCATTTAACACAAAGCAGTTTTCTAGCAACAACCCTCCAGGAAGAATTTTTTTTAAAAAAAAACAAAAGTGAGAGGAAATCGAAAAATCTAAAAATAAAACTGAAAGCGCCTCTCAATCCAACCAACAACTGCGAGACGATCTCAATCTGAAGCTGAAGTCAGTTCCCCCATCAGACCTGACTGGTTTGCAGTCTGTCAGCTGCACTGTGTGTGTGTTAATACAGCGACAAGAAGCGATCATACAAAGTTAATTCATCCTTCAAATAAATCACTGAAACACCACCCCCTCTCCCCACTGTAACCAACACACACACACACACACACATCCAAAAGACACCACTTTACTTTCCTGTGGGGCTGTGTCTGGTTTGCAATACACTGGGCTAAAATTTTAGGAGTATTGCACAGCTCCCGGGGGGTAAAGGTACCCTTTTCGCACACAATCTGCAGGTGGACCTTCACCTCCAGGAGGAGAGTCCTGAGGCAATGGGGATTCAAACTGCATTCAACAAGGACCCAAGTCCTGCACTTCAGCAGCTGTGAGACCAGGTCCTTCTGCACACACACCACACACTTACACCCCACACACCCCCACACCCTTACACCCCCACACCCTTACACCCCCACACACTTACACCCCCCCACACACCCCACACACTTACACCCCCACACCCCCACACACTTACACCCCCACACACCCCACACCCTTACACCCCACACACTTACCCCCCACCCACACCTACACCCCCACACACCCTTACACCCCCCACACCCTTACACCCCACCCACTTACACCCCCACACCACACCTTACCCCCACACCCTTACACCCCCACACACCCACACTTACACCCTTACACCCCACACACCCCACACCCTTACACCCCCACACACCCCACACCTTACACCCCACACCCTTACACCCCCACACACCCCCACACCCTTACACCCCACACACCCACACACCCCACACCTTACACCCCCACACCTTACACCCCACACCACACCCTTACACCCCCCACCACACCTTACACCCCCACACCCTTACACCCCCCCACACACCCTTACACCCCCACACACTTACACCCCCACACACTTACACCCCCACACACCCCCACACCCTTACACCCCCACACACTTACACCCCCACACACCCCCACACACTTACACCCCCACACACTTACACCCCCACACACCCCCACACACTTACACC